GAATCTTCCCTTCTTTGTCTAGAATCAGAATTTTCAAACCTGTCTTTGAGGTAACCCTAGATAAAGCAACATATAGTTGCCCATGAGAAAACACTGGCTTAGGCAGATAGAGTCCAACCCTCTCTAGTGATTGTCCCTGACTCTTGTTGATAGTCATAGCAAATGCTAGTGATACTGGGAACTGTCTTCTACGCATCCGAAAAGGTAGCTTTGTATCGGATGGTGTAATATTGATTAATGAAATCAAAACAATATCACGAATTCTGTCTCCGGTTATAACTCTTGCTTGAAGAACACGTGGGGTCATCTGAGTTACCTGAAGCCGAGTACCGTTGCATAGACCACCTTTAGGATCAATATTCCTGAGTAACATTATTGGAGCACCAATCTTCAGACGCAGAGCATGGTGTGGCAAACCTGGTAGCCTGATACTGTTTAAGAAATCTGGTGTGATAACAGGATTTTTAAGTGAATCGGAATCTTCAGGATCAATACTATCAGCACTGTAAAAAACTTGCTCATCACCTGTTGAAAAAATTAAAAAAACCTTTTAGCTGTAAGAAAGACTTGAAGGAAATAATTTCACAAAGCTAGTAAGCTATGACTCACCCTCCAACTTGTCTAACATATATTGGTTGATTGTGTGTACATCATCATTGGTTGGAGCCAGAATTGCTCTCTTTTGAAAAAATACTGGATCTTCAGTACCTTTTAACATAGCTGGATCTCCATATATCTCACGAGTAATGGATTCAATTGGATCTTTTGCTTCGGTAATCAGAAGTTCTTCAGGTATATCAATTAGAGCCTCACCATCATTAGGTTCCGCAATTCTACCATCACCAACAGCTAGAAGCCAATCACTGAATTCTTTGATGTCTTTTGCTTCTTCTACACTCAAATCCTTCTTAAGTAGCCTCATGTTCTTAGTAAGCTTTAGAACCTTACAGTGATCCCAAAGATAAGACGCATTAAGAGCTGCCATCACAATCTCAGCCCTGCCTGCACCAGCGATAACAGGTAGAACTTGTCTAAAATCACCTCCAAAGACAACAACCTTTCCACCAAATACTTTGCTATTTTTATTACCAATGATATCACAAAAACTCTTATCTAGAGATTCAAAACACCACTTGCTCATCATAGGTGCCTCATCCCATATAATAAGAGAAGCTTTCTTTATCAGATCAGCAAGATCAGACTTTGGCTTTATCCTGCACACTGAACTGCTATCAGGTGTAAGAGGTATGGCAAACCTTGAATGAGCAGTCCTTCCACCTTCCAACAACAAAGAAGCGATACCACTTGAAGCCACGTTTAGAACTATATCTCCTTTAGATCTAATAGCAGCTGAAAGTGTTTTCCAAATAAAAGTTTTTCCTGTACCTCCAAATCCATACACAAAAAACACTCCACCTAGATCATTGAATACTGCAGTGGTAATCTCATCATAAACACCTCTCTGCTCCGGTGTCATAATATCTATCCACTCAGCATGCTTTTCAGCCAATGATGTACGGTCATACCGCATTTCATCAACAATCAAACGGTTAGAATTATCTATACCTTCTCTAGTTGGCTTAGGAAAGTTTTGTATATCTTCAAGAGTACCTCCATTAGACAACATCATTTTTTCTAGTTCTTGAAGAGTGTAGTTCCTAATTTCTGCCTCTGTCAGATTCAAATCTGCATATAAAATAAATGGCAATGTCAAGAAAAGAATAGAATCATTGCTTATTTAACTGAGAAAATGTATATGATATAACTTAAGCAATTTCATTATTTATCTCACCTTGGTTGTCAAACTCATTTCTCTTCTTCTGTTGAATATCTTCTGCTAACAAATGCCACGTCTGTTCCCAAACATATTCTGGCCTAGATAGGGAATCAGATAGTAGCAACATAGCGAAGAAATTCCTCAAAAAATCACCAAAACAGAATTGACTCGCATCAAACAGACTGTCAATGAACACCTGGTCATCATCTAGAATTCCTCGTGCAAAACATGCTTCTTTGTAAGTTGGATAGACAACACCATTATATGTTTTAATGTCATCAAAACATGTAGGACCTCTGACGATGTTAAGAAGGACTCGTAGAAAATATTCATCTTCTAGCTTCCTGGGAACATAATTAATCCGACCTAAGGACCATCCTCTAGACCTCTTATTCCACAGCTTATTAGTTCCATCCCATGTAAAATATGCAGGTATCTCTGCATATAGGAGTTCTCGAGCACGCTTTCCATTTTTTCCAATTCCATCATTCTTATTCAATGTTAGCCATGCCATGAATTGAGAATCTCGATTGAGAATTCTGTCCAAAACATCTGATATCACCTCTTTTCCTTTAAAATAAGCTGGTTGCTTTCCTTCTACATGAAAAGATAGCTTCAGAACAGGTGTTGATTTATGCTGTATCGGAAACTTAAAAATTCTCCAAATTGCTTCAGATGCTGACACATATCTACAATTTTGAATAATAAACAAATCCATTTCAGGATCCAGACTGACCAATCACAGAAATAAACTGAGAAAGAGCAAAATTAGGATACAATACCTGCAATCAAAATAATCTTTTATTTCATTCTTCTTTTTCTCCTCTGGTAATGGTTCTGATCCATTAGCTGTTTGATCTACGTGTGAGCCATTATCTGTTGGTGGTGGCTTGACAGGCTCCACAACAAATGCTAACTTATCTGGGCCTTTATTTATATACTTGAATAAGTATTTAATAGACCCAGTTTGATTACACCATTCAACGTTAATGTGAGCACCATACCTAACTGATAGTTTTTTATTGTATGGAACGACATACCTATTATCACATTTAATTCCACATTTCTCAACATAGTGGTCAGAGCGCCTTCTTCTATAGATAGGAAAACCATCAGCGCCTACCCTGGTGATATCCTCAAATTTTTTAGGATACGATTTAGAACACTAGCCATCCACCATACATGGAGAACTCATATTTGCTGCACCACATGGGCCATGAATCATTGAATTACTAACAACCTCATAAAGCTCTGGTTCTGTTTCTTTATCTGGAATCTCAGCAGATATCATCCTGTCAATATCGCTTGCTGTTGGAAGTTTGCTTTTAGCATCCATGAATAAAAGAATGTGAGCATGTGGAAGGCCTCTTTTCTGGAATTCTACAGTATACATAGCTGCATAACATAGAATAAAGTGTGAAAATTATGAAATAGTCTCAGTTTATTGTCACAAAATTGGAAGTAGTCAGACAACTTACATGCGACAGTCTTTCCAAGCATCTTCTTTTCTGTTAGATCGTTCATCAGAGAATCCAACTTGATTTTGAATATCCTAGCAACAATGTCTGGCCTATCCTCAGCAGTTAACCCTCTAGCTGTGACATATCTTGTTATCTCAGGCCACTTAGGGTTACATGTAAACGTGATGAATAAATCCGGGAAACCATAATGTTTACATATGGCCATAGCATCATAATAACTCTGAACCATATACCTTGGACCACCAGTAAAAGATGCTGGAATCAAAATCTGATTTCCTTCTTCTTCCATATTTGTTACACCAGAGTCAGCAGCTTCTTTTAGTGAGTTTGCATTCTCACATCTAAGCTTAGACTGATTGAACCTTATGTAGGATAGACGATTTGATTCAATAGTGGTGTAAGCGTCACAAAGAAACTGCTGAAACAACCTCTTCGACAGTAGAAGAGTATGGCACTCACCTGGCCTCTCCTGAATACGGAATGCAAACCACTGACGCATACTAATACACTTCTTCTTCTTCTGGTTATTACCCTTATAACATTTCTCTATACCTGGGGTGTAACCATCTTCACCATAGCAGAAAATCAGAGGATACTGAAGAGCCAGATAAGAAATATGAATCTGGCTAATCCTGGTTAGGTGGCCTGTAGTCCTTTCTTGAAGAACTATATCACGGTTTGGCATACCTTCTGTAAAGTCTCATGGGATTAACGCTGCAACCTCCGAAGTCGTAGGCATGCTGTAAGTCCTTCCATCAGCACCTTTACGACCAGAGCATATCCTCATATGAAATGGTTGGGGATTAACTACCCCAAATCTTTCCTTGGCAATTCTAAAATTCTTGACATAAGGATTAACTTCATTGAGCATTTTCATAATGGCTTCAATTGTCTCTTTGTTCAGTATATCCTTGCTTCCTCTTCTAGATGATTCTTTCCCCTTGCTACATTAAAAAAAAAGATGCCCATGATTGAGTATACCACAACATAGAAATACATAAGAATTGAATAAGCCTGTTAAGTAGAAATAATACTAACCCAATAACAGTTGCTCTGTTATCTACTTCATTCTCAGTATCTACTATATAGAGTTGTGAATACTTCGCATAATCACCTTCTGCAGGTTTCAAACTGCCTATCAAATGATAGTTACCTCCTTGTAAACGAAACATGCTTGGACCTTTACCCTTAGGTATAGACTTATCTACTTTCCCACCTAGTGAGGTCATTGCGAAAACCATATTCCATATTCTCAAGTGCTTTCTGTAATTCCTACTTTGAGGATCTTTCCCAGTCAGAAGTTTCTTGATCAATTCTGGTGACTCTTTAAGAAAAGGCAGCTTAACAGAACCTTGACCACAACATAGTGTAAATGTAGGCTCTGTCGTTTTAACTTTTTTGTTTATTCTTTCAGCATGCCACATCAATGCACCACAATACTTACACGAGTAAGTAGGGTCACCATGATCAAGATAAGCTGAAAAACATAAATATGTTTCTCATAAGTTTCATATTCAGAATTACCAAAAATAAAAAAAAGTACTGGGAAGGGCAAGAAAATTTACTTATTGGTTTGTTTTTCTTTTTTGATTTTCTTTTCTTTTTTCTTTTCGGAGGCACATTTCCTTCATGTGTTTCTTGCTGAACAGACTCAATAGATGATCTTGCCAAATCATTGGTATGAGATGAGACTTCAGTGATGTGTGACATCATTTCAATCTGTTCCTCGTTAGAAACTGACATTTCATTGTTATCTACTACTTCATCTTCACCTTCACTGCAACTAAGATCATAGCTTTGAGCTAGTGTCTCATCTTCACTGACATTACCAAACTCAGGATCATCATACATTTCATCATCTTGGCTATAATCACTATCTTCATTATCTATTACTTGAGTTGTATTCTGACCTTGAGAATACAAAACAGGAAAATAGGTTAAGACATGCCTCTTAATTACATTTTGTTTCCAAGCGAAAAACAATACAGTAAAGACTGTTACCTTTAGATGAAGAAGAGGTTTCTGCATTTGTAAAATCAATATCTAAGTTTTTCCTTGGCAAATTTATTGTATGAGAAACAAAGCTTGATGTCTGGAGGTTGGTTATACATGATGGATTTCCAGTGTATTGAACACCTACAACAGATATTAAACTTATTACTTATACAATATACTTCTCTATTTAAAACATTATCATACCATAATTGTTGCAAAAATTATTCATATGTGGAACTTAATTAATCTAACCACCTATTCTCTTTGGTGTTACAGAAGGTGGAGGCATTATTGGAGTTGTAGGTGTTCTGCTAAAAAGACTCTGGCTTGTATTAGTCATGGCGCTTAATCCAGATGGAGTTAACAATGGGTTAGGTCTAGTGTAAGGAGAGCAAGGTACCAGAATTTTTCCACGAAGTGAACCTGTTTTAAAACTCATCAAGATTTAGAGATAAAGGTATTTTCTATTTATCTTTGATGAGAATGAAAACAAAATAATTGTAAATGAAAACTTGTCTATAGAAACTAACCTTGATTCTTACTGTTCTGTTTTGCAGATGAAGATGTATTAGCATCTGCAGAGTTCTCAATGGGGCTAACTTGTGGGTCTGGAAGGTTAGTAATATCTCTAAAAGCACTACCAAACGCTGTACTAAGAGGGACAGAACCATTCCTGATTATAGGTAGATTAAACTGAGAAATGTTCCTTAGTCTAGTGTAAGGCTCATTTCCTCGATTACGTTTTGGTGGATTAGACTCAGGAACATTATTTTCTGTTGGAGATAGAGGTTTTTTTTTCATATTTTAGTCTAAGAATGTCTATAGATGATTAGACTATGAGGTAACTATATAAAGGAGATTAAGGTGTAAATAGAAAGCATTTTGATATCTGTAGATTGACTATTATTGTTAAATGATTGTCTGTTGCCAAAGATATAGGAACTAAGATATGTTATTTTCTATAAGTAATGAATGAGAACCTTTAGATAATATGCGGAATATACCAAACTATAAGATTGATTCCGTGATTATAGTGATTATTGTTTTAATTATAAGATTACTAACTATATTTTTTGTATCAGGAAAGAGAGCAATGAAATATTCTTGCTATTCACAATCAATAGCACATAAGGAAGATGGACTATTCAAATAAGGTAAAATGAACAAAACTGATAGTTTAGCAAATATCTCAAAACTTGTTAATTTATCTAATGAAATTATAACTTTGATACAATAATTATATATTTTATTGATCATATACTAAAACTTACTATAAAACAAATAACCATTAGAGTAGATTAATTAGATAAACATTAAATTCAAATAAAGGATAAAGCAGTTGATAGTCAAAAGAAACTTAAAACAAACTTGTCTTCAGAAACATAAAACAATAGAGAACCGAGAAAGTATTTTTGTAATAATAAAACAACTGCAGCCACTGGTAGAACCAAATCATCACACTTCCAACTTCATTTTAACATCCTGAACATCATCTTGTTGTTCTGCAAAGCCACGTCTGTTTCAAAAAAGAGAAACATTACTTAATCCAATCAGTAATCATAGCATTTGATTACTTATTTAACTTCTGATAGGTAACTACTTACATGTATCTCGGAATGTCCAAATCAGGAAAGGTTGGATCAAGGAAAAGCCTTGAACAACCATACTCACTCATCAAACAGTTTTGACCTATTAAAACATGTTGATAGTTACCAGTTAGAGTTATTGTCTAATGTATTTGACAGTTATATATAGTTTAGAGGAAAATAACTAACCTTCAAACTCAGCAACCCTCCAAAAACGCAGGACAATGACAACTGGGTCATAATTGTATGTCACAGAAGTTATTTTCCTAAACCATTTAGTCACAAAAGCCTGACAGGACCTACCCTTTGCAACACAGATTGTTTTCCTACCCCTACATGATCACAGATTCAATGCATTCAATACCACATCGCCAATACAGATACTAATTTGAGATATCTATTAAAATAAAACTTACATGTCATCCTTGATTTCGACAACAACAAATCTGGCTTCATAGTCTGTCTCTCCTTGACGACAAACAAATGGAAATCTTTGAATAGCAGAGACACTCGAGACCACACCAATAGCATCTGAGAATAAATTACAAATATACTTAATTAAAGTCAGAATAAAGCAAAGTTTTACTAATTTTCAATCAAGAAATAAATATACTTGAACCTGACACATGTTGCTTATCCTCTAATCCAGCATACTCAACTTCATCAGAATGAATGAAGTTGAAGAAATTTCCATTACATCTAGGAGACACAGGCCACATAGTGGTAGGCCATATACACTCTAGTGCAAAAGGATTCCAGGAGTACTTAACAGGTTGAGTAGATGGTACCACATGGAAGTCAGCCATGTAGTACTAGTGACCCTCCTTGAGACCTGGCCGGAAATTGTATAAGTAGTTTCCAGGAGGGATAAATGCATCAATCTGATTGGCCTAGGCATATAAGAAGAACTAAATAGTAAGTTTTCTCTGTGAAGATTCAAACAAATTAGTAAATCTGTGACTTAAGAAACAGAGGTTCAATAGAAGAAATTTTCTAACATTTTCATCAGTCAGAATCATAATCGTAGGTTCATCAATAGCGTCTATACCTTGATTCCAGATAGATAAAATCTTCACGTACAAAGTCCATCTAGGTCTTTGCAGGTTGAGATCGGAAATGTAGTCAATAGTACCCATTAGAATCACAGAAAGTGTAAGTTTTTCTCAGTTTTTTTTTATAGAGAAGGTTAGGTTTCTGAATAAATCTAAAGGTTAAGTCTGAGTATTTATAGAATCGTGTAGAGATGTGAATGAATAGATTTAATTTCCTATATAAAATAGATATTATATATTGTAAATCATTGAAACCGTTTGAGATAAGTAAAGTTAGATATAATATATCAAGGAAACTGAATCGTTAGCCTGTAATAGTTCGGTTTAGTTTTCCATTCTGTTTTTGTTCTATTTTTGTTCGGTTCAATTTGGTTCGTCAAAATGTTAATGTCAACCACGAGTTTTTTTTTTTCTTGGACAAAATCAACCACTAGTTTTAATCGGTTAAATTGGTCTTAACCAAGTCTCAGAAATAAACTGTGTAAGAGATATTGAAATAAACTGTATAAAAGATACATAAATTTTGCAGAAAATTTCAAAGAATCAAATCTAAAAACAGAAAAGGTTAATCGCAATGGAACATCCAGAAATCGGACCAACGGTTAAACCCAACCCGAGCCGGTTTATCCCAAGCTTGACCTTGTCATCTCATAAGCCAAGAAGCAAGCAGCATTAGCAGGAACACTCCTAGCCATTGCTGGACCGAACCCTTTATACAAACCTTTAACTCCTTCAGATTTCAGAATCTTCCGAAATGCATCCATCGACCCTGTGTATTTCGGGTTTTTATAATCGTCGACTTGAAGAACACTCTTCACGACATCGGTTGGATATACAATTCCCCAAAACGACGCACCAGCAACTCCACCCGCCATGATCAATGACCCTTGTCCTAAGCTTGAAGTGTCTGAACCACCGGCTAAAAACCGCTTGAAAGCTTCGTAGGCTGCAAACATTGTTGCATTTCCCGGGACTTCACGGGCGAATGTCGGGAATAAACCTTTGAATAGACCTCGTGCTCCGCCTTCAGATCGTAGGACATGACGGGCTACATCCATTGGTCCCCCGTATTTCATGGCTGCAACCACTGAGCTTGTGGTAGAGGCGCCGGCTACTGCTGCACCTTGTGCTTGCAGCCTGATGGTGAAACAAGATTGAACACACACACACAAAAAGAGACATGTTTTAGTTCTGTTTCAGTTTTCTGGCCAGTGAACTAAATTTCGAGGCTGCGTATCCACAAAATGCAGTCTAGAGCTTGAGTTAAAAGCATATATAAGCTCTGATTTGTAATACATGTCAAAAGAATCTAACCTGCATTTGATCAACTCGGTAGGACAAGCAAGGAACGAAACCGCGAAACCAGCGCCAGCTCCGCACACAAACTGTTGGCTAATGGTCAAAGGAACTCCAGCTTCCGACCTAAGCAGTCCTTCCATTTGACCTCTCACGGTGAACAAAACCGCATTGAAGGCAGCAACGGTTGCAAGAGGAGCTCCCATACCTTTGTACAAACCTTTAGCTCCTTCAGAAGCAACGGTCTGCTTAACTGCATCGATTGCACCGGTGTACCTTGGAAGTTGTCCTGGTGCTGGAGTCGGTTGGCTCTGAAGTTTGACCTTGATTGTGTCAAATGGATGACCAACAACTAGCTGAGCCGCTCCTCCAACAGTCCCTGAAGCTAAATCCTTCCACACATCCGCCATTTCTAAGAAAAAAACAAATCAATCAAATTTCTCAGAATCAACCAAAAACCAAAACTTTTTGTTAATGAAGAATAAATTTTGACAACCACTTAAATCAACCAAAATTTAAACTTTTGTTAACAAAAAGAATCCTACACATTTAACTTGTGACCTAAACCACTTCAACTAACCAAATACTACTTTAGAAACCAACCAAAGTCACTACTTTTGTTAATGAAGAATCCTTCAAGAATCAAGATTAACTTATATAACCAAACCACTTAAATCAACCAAATTCTTCAGTATCATCAACCAAAATCAGTACTTTTGTTACTTGTGACCTGAACCACTTAGCCAATCAGAGACGTTTCTAAGAGTTATTTCTCATAAAAATTGGATTTTTTTTTTTTATTTAGTTTCCAAGAAAGTAGGAATCTTATGATCATTTCCAATCATTACCAAATAAGAGGATTCAGAAAACAATGAGAGAAAGCTTAACAAAAACCTGAAAATGTAATCAAACTCAGACTCTAAAAACATGTCAGAAATTTGTCTTTGAGAAAGTTTGAATCTTTTAATCCACAGAACTCAAATGGTGGATTCATAAGACAATGAGGTGAAATCAGATCGAAAACCCAGAAAGAAAATTCAATAAATATTAGCTTACCAGGGATTGATTAGAGAAAATCCACTCGAGATCAGATGGATCCGATAAAGGTAAGAATAACAATGGCAGATGCGAATCCACGGGATAGAGATTCAGAGACACAAACGAGTGATGATGAGATAAAATCCAAAAGAAAAGGTTTCAAGTTGACACAAAAGTTTTAACTTTTAATAACTCGTCGAGTGGCTCTCTACGCCACAAACACAACCACAAAGGATGGAGCTTTGCAGAGACAGAAGTTTTGTTTTGTTTTTCTCTTTAAGAATAAAGCGTTTTTGTTTTTAAGTGGTTGGTGAAAAATGTAGATCAGTTTGGCTGGTCAGACGTTCGATCAGCTTGATCGGTCGGTACGTTTATAGGTAAACTGGTAAACGTCTAACGAGCACGTGTGGTTCAGGATTCCAATTTGGTTAAGTCTTCGGTTTAAGGATTGAGCTAGTTTGAAGTTTATTTGGGATCTGTATGATGATGGGCCGTGTAGTTCTTTGATAAGGCCCAAACATTTTCTACCTTGAAAGTAGGCATGGGCTTTCGGTTATCCGTTCGGTTATCGGTTGGGTCCATTCGGTTTTTGGTTCTTTCGGTTTTAAAATTTAGTATCCATTCGGATATTTTGAAATTTCGGTTCGGTTTCGGTTTGGTTCCGGTTCTTTCGGTTTTAAAATTTAGTATCCATTCGGTTATTTTGTTTACGATATTTTCGGATATTTCGGTTATTTTTGAGTATTTTCGAATATTTTGGATATTTTTCGGTTATTTTTGAGTATTTTTACTATTTTTATAGATTTTTCAAGTATTTTTGATTATTTGGTCAATAAATAACTAATTATTTCGAAAATATAATTGTATTTCGGGTATTTCGGTTACCCAAAATATTTCGGTTCTGTACCGATTCGGTTACGGTTATTTCGGTTATCAAATTTAGTATCCATTCAGTTATTTTCAAATTTTCGGTTCGGTTCGGTTTTTTTTGCTTCGGTTTCGGTTCGGTACATTCGGTTCGGTTTAAAAGTCCAGCCCTACTTGAAAGATAGGGGAAACTCGTAAAAGCTTGGTTGTTCGTGGTTTTCGATTAAGATATATATAGCTAATTGGGAATGTTACCAAAATTCTATGCTTACTCATGCTATGTCTTGTTTGTTGTGATCATATAGCTGACAGAATACTAAAGGATCCAACTATGGAAGCCCTGCTATCGAAGGATGCATCATCGAAAAACTTATCGAGTAATGAACTGATTACAGAGTTGGATCCACCAAAAGAAAGGGTGTTCTTAAGGAAAGTACATACATCTTGTCATCTTGATACCAAAATAGTCAAAGGTAGGAAATGATCATACCAAAACATGTAATATGATTAAGTAAATACCGTATAATAATTAAGAATTTTCAACATGAAATTTTATATCAAAACATTTAATATTATAAATAGGGGTCAACATGAGGATTTAATTTTATACCAAAACATTTAATATTGTTAAGTAAATTACCTTATAATTAAGAATTTTCAAATGCCAAAATTGACTCCCCTCCTTATAAATTGGCTCCGCCTTTGTTATTATACCAACGGCTGAACATAGAAACGATGCAGACTAAGCAAATGGCTTCTCTTTGGTTGTTGATCATATTCTCTCTTTCATTACTTTGCTTCCATGGAAGGTCTCAAAATACTAAGGTATGTCACCATTTTGTGAGCACTTTGATATAAACTTAAATATATAATAATAATACAAATAAAGTTCTAAAATTCTCATATATTGCAGCCTCAAGAACCCGAATACGAATGCGTTGATATCTACAAACAACCTTCGCTACTACACCCTCAACTCAAAAATCATCAAATCCAAGTATATTTCTATATATTTACATTTGTGTGTCGATTTCTTGATCATATAATTATCCCTATTTAATTGATATATTTTTTGATGCATCACATAGATGAGACCGAGCGACGAATTCTTAGCCATGCTATCAGGAGATACATCAGCAGAAAACTTATCAGACGATGAAATGGTTGCTGAGTTTGATATACCAGAAGAAGGATGTCCACAAGGACAAGTACCAATCCATAAACCAAGAAATCTCAACCACACCGAGAAACCTTTTCAGCCTATTAATGGATATGGAACTGTTGGTCAACATGTGAAGTTCCTAAAATTTTATACCTTAACTATATATGATCCAACCATTTGATGTGTATATTTATAACATATCGTTTATATATACAGGCTGCGATAATGAAGAAAATCGATGCTATCCCGTGGCGTGGAGCATCAGCATGGATTAGTATTTACCAACCTAAATTGAGAAATAAAGAGCAATTCAGCATGGCTTTGATTTGGCTCAATACTGAGAATCAAGGCGAACGCACCAGTGCTCAGTTTGGTTGGGCTGTAAGAATTTGAACGCACCACTTAGAGCAACCGATCGACTTTTAGCATATATGTGCAATTAGTTCATTTGAATAAATATCATGGTTAAAAGTTTTACTGATGACATTTTTTTTTTTAATAATATGTATGAATATATTAAGGTGATTCCTGCATTATATGGCGATTACCGTACAAGACTTACTGCATATTGGAGTGTGAGTAACAATGTCACCATTCCTCGTCTATCTCTATTACAATAATGTTGGTTTTTTTCTCTCTTCTTTAACTGCAAATCGTTTTGCAGCCGGATAAACTCGAAAACGGATGTTACAATACGAAATGTAAGGGTTTCGTTCAAATTGACCGGAGAATCTTTCTTGGTGCCGGTTTTTCGAAGACCTCTGTGGTGGGAGGCACACAATTTAAAGCTTTCTTTTCAATCAATCAGGTATATAAGTATAACAACTACGTTTTTGAGTTAAACTAAATTCAGGTATATACAGTAATAGGTTGAATAAAAGTTCAAATTTCTCAAATATTTTCTATATTAAAACCAGTTCTTTAGTTTCAATTGGGTTAGTATTATTCCTTAACCTATAAACTCGAAGAAAATTTTCACTAGATAAAACTAGTGAAATTTCTTCCCAAACTTTAATATAATTTACCCAAAAAAAAAAAAAAACCTAACACTTCTTTTTTTTTGGGATGTATACAAATAATAGGATCCAAAAACAAAGAATTTGTTGTTGACAGTCGGGAAGATTTACATAGGGTATTGGCCAGAGGAACTTCTACCTTATTTCTTTAATGGAGCGGAGGCAGTTATATATGGTGGATTCACGAATGCTCCATCCGAAAACATTCAACTCTTTAATATAGTTAGCCCACCGATGGGTAACGGGAATAAACCGCTGGATGAGGAAGTAGATCTAAAACATACTTGTTATATGCACTCACTTAAATATGTGACACCAGATTATAAGAGTGTCGATATTGATTCCGACAAGGTCACCGAAGTTGCGGATGCAGGTAAATGTTACGACGTGATTTATTTTGATAAACTTGGGCAATATGGACAAGCGTTTACCTTCGGTGGACCAGGTGGTTACTGTGATGTGTGAGCTTCATTTATGTGATATTTTGTTATTTCTCTTTTATTCAATAAAAAAATCTTTAAATTCCTGATTTCCTAGTCGATTTTGATAGCTTTATATTCTTTTACAATGTTTTTGTATAACCAAAACTCATGGACATCAAAGCAAGAGATAAGATGTAATCGCCATAAATACACATTGGAAGTATATTTGCATAAAACATGTAATGGCAAACTTGCAACTATACATAGGATAAGATGGATGAACAACAATCACGTCATTTACTACTAACCTTACCAAGTTCAACTTTCATCTCTCATGTCGTCTAGACAACCGTCTAATGGACGTGTAAACAATTGATAAATCGAGTTTAAAACATCTATAACAATTGATGATTTCTGTGTCAAGATATTTTTGAACAATTTCTATAAGACCATATTTATCGGAATAACTTATTTGGGTGTTCTTAGGGTTAATTAAGTATTAAAATAATGTAGATAGAAGAACAGTTCTTGGGTGGAGAGAAAAACATGTCTAAACAGTTCTTGGACAAGAACAGTTCTTGGATGTTCTAATACTATTTTCTTTTATTTTATTATTTTTTTAATGGTAAGAACATAGGATAAGTTATCCGAAGTTATCTCCTTGCATATGCCTTAAGTCACTTAAAAATGGCATATTCCCTTGTGGCATATTCACAGTGTTATTAATATCGCTCTCAGTCGGACATATGGACAGTAGAATAGTGGGGACCAAAGTTATAAGGATGCCAAATTTACATAGAAAGTTGCAATAATCAATCAATTGTGTCCTTCCTGTCTCTGACATTTTCTTTTGTGGAGCAAAATTTCATCACGTGCCTTGTTGGTTTTCGAAAACTAAAATAGGACGACGATATACAAAGCTGCAAACTAAAAAAATATATATGTTGAAATGTTAAACAAATCTAAAATATATGTTATATCAAGACGGCGAAAACATATATTCTCTTATATATATATATATATATATCTATATACAGTATATGTATATTAATAGTACTGAAATTAGACAAATTTGAACAAACATGGTTGACAAAATTTATTTATTACTAAATATAGAAAAATGTTGATATATGGTAAAAAGGCGAGTAATCTTTTGATTCTTTAACTTACATCGAAAAGTTTTTTATGTGCCCTAGCAAGAGAGAAGAGGCGGTGGCGGTAAGTTTATTTGTGTGGAACTCGTCGACCTGAAAGGGTTCTTAAGAATTTATGGTTACGTGGTTAGAGTTAGATTATGCGGTTTAGGATTTACTGATTTAGATAGATAACAAATAATTTTGGTCAATAACAATGAAGAAAGTGAACAATAGTTTTAAGAAGAAAACATGTGAAAGTTTTTAAGAACCTGTTAACATTTTCAAACATTTGTAAGTTTCGAAAAGTTGGTAAATAATTTCAGAAAAAAATTAATTTAAATGATTTATGAAATCATTAAAAAATACATATATTGAATATATTGTACATACATATAGTTTTATATGGCCCCAAAGATTCTCAAGGCAGCCAATCCAACTTACTGCTGACAACAATAATACAAATAAATTTGTGAAATCCAATATTGTGGGTAATGTTATTTGGCATATGACGACATATTGGGGGCAGTGAGTGAAGACTGAAGAGTTTAGAGTGAAGAGGGAAGTTGACGACGTGTCTCTTTTAAAAATTGTATGCTTCTTAACAAATAATGAAATAAATGATGGTGACGTAAGTGTTGCTGGAGAGAGAGGTCTCACTACGGTGTAGGCATGAGATTTGATCCGAAGAAACGGATATCCGGCAAAACGGATACGGATACGGATAGTAAAATAACGGATATTCTGGATACGGATAATTTAAAAATTTGGGCCGGATAATGGATATACGGCAAAAAAAAAAAAAAACTTTAAATGCCTTATGAGTCCATTTTTCAAGTGTTAAAGCCCAAAAAAGTTTGGAAGCCAACTTTTTAATTATTTTTTTTTAATGTTAATAAATAAATCATATGAGAAAAAATAAAAAGAAATTTTTAAGAAGGATTTAAGAAGTTGATTAATGTCTTTTTTTTTTTAAGAACATCACTTAAATCTTTTAAACTTTTTGCTACTTTAATAAATTCTTTGTTAATCTATTTATACTAAATCAATAGTCACTTAACAAAAACTGCAACACTCTCCTTTTGACATGTGGCAAAACTCTCAAATTTTGCTTTTTCAAAATCCAATTCTACTATTCTTGGAAAAAAATTTGACAAAAAAAATAAATAATATTACCAGTTTTTTAGCAACCACTACTCCCCCATGATCTCAAAGGTATCCCTTTTTCGAAATCTTCTCCTACTTTAACTGATGAAAGTAATTAACATATATATAGATAACTTTTTATATTAATCATTATGTAGTATGCTAACAAAGTTTGTCGTTTAAAAAAAAAAGTTTGTCATCTTCCATCAATAACTTATTTGTTTCATGATTTTGAAATTTAACTACATAGCTAATGGATTCAATGCACTTCCATTAAAAAAAAACATATGTTTGATTTTTCTAAAATATTTTGAAATATGATGTAAATTGACATTTATGTTGTCTCTGCATAGCAGGTGCCATAATGCTAGTGTTTTGTATGTATAATCAACTTCTAGCTATTTTGTGAAATTTTTAAGCTTTTTATGTATGATATTAATGAATTTAGGATTTTAAAATACTATTTCCGGTTTGTCCAAAAAAAAAAAACACTATTTCCGGATATTCGCGGATATCCGGATTTTCAACGAATATCCGGATATCGGATATCCGGAATTCTGGATCCGGATACGAATACTAAATTGGCGGATAATGCGGATATGGATACGGATATCTTAAAAAACCGGATATCCGCTCCGTTTACAGCCCTACTACGGTGACCGTGTTACACATAAAGTGTCGTTGGAAGTTTGAGCGATGGTTAGGGTGATTCTTTTCAACCGTCGTCATCAAATCAAATTTAAAATTTTATTTCCGCATAAAATTTACAAATGGTTAAGACTTGAAAGTATAGCCACCAATTTTGAATAAAAAGTATATTATTTATTGTAACGCCAATTTTATTTACCCTTTATTGTACTTATATACTTTATTTATTTATTCACCAAAAAATATACTTTATTTATTTATATGTATATATTATTTCATCTGTTAATATTTTTTATGACATGTTATTTATTAAAATAACATACTTACGTGAGAATGCGGAAAATAATGTGGTAAAAGGATGTAAAATTAACATTTAGACTTCCGATTTCTATCTTCCAAATATATATATTAGATTTTAATCCGCGGTACAACGCGGGATGATTTAATTTTAAAGTTAGTATAAAAATATTTTGTAAATTGTATCTCCTTATAACATATTTATTTATATTATAGTTTACAATTGTTATTAAGTAACGGTATACCACGAGTCCACGAGATAATTATTAATAAACTGAGGATTTAATCCGTATTAAAGCGGTATATAAATATTGATTCAAATTCGTCCGTCATATAAATCATTTCCGAAATATAACCCGTTCCGTAATTTCTTAACCCGTCCTGTGATTTGTATTAAAAAAATAAGGATTAAATCCGTATTGAAGCGGCGGATTAATGATATTTTAATCTTTTTATTATTGTTGATTCAAAAACCCGTCCCGCCAAACCCATCCCGCCAAAAAACTCATTTATTTTATTAATGTTCTTATTTATGATATGATTCTGAATCATTGTCTAAATATTTTAATCGATGTAGAACGTTGAACACACATTTTCGTCAATTGGATAATATATGTCCGTTTTTAAAATTTCGAATCACAGTATATGCAGAAAAAAAATTGATTTTTTTTTTTACTTTATGTATTATATGATGATTCAAAACAGTTAAAAACAAATCAAACAAAGATGATAGGAGAATCATAATTATAAATCTTACTCAAATCTTCTAAAAATCTAAATTATTAAATATGGAATATCCGGTGTATGAGTTGGGTTAAATATAACCCGACCCAACAAATTTGTTGTGAATGAATTTTTAAAATGGGTCGGATATCCGATATACCCAAAAGCTTTTTTACCCACTCGTCACAAAAAGTGCTGCGATTATACTAGTATAAATATATATATATATATATATATATATTGGACAGCGTCTCCCAAATTCTTTAACATCGGTGGTTTCTATAAAATTGGTTGTCTACGAAAAATTGCATAAATGTTATTTATATTGTTGTCGGAAATAAAGTTATATCAATTGCAATTGCCTTACATAGCCAGACAGGTGGATGGATGTACATAACACAGTCGAAGAGAACGACAATGTACCAAAGTTACAAATATCTCAAATAATTAGAAAACGACAATGTTTCTGTACCTAGACACCTTTCTTTGTAGAGGAGAGCAAAAAATGACATCTACAAAATGATTACATAATTGTCATCTAGCCAAAATGAATATATATAAATGAGTACAATGGCCATTAACAATGAACTAAGACAAACAATATTGTTAAACGAAAGACATGTAATATTTATTATTTTCCAAGAACTTGTAGAAGTACTTGGAAAAACATTTTTGAAGTAAATAAAAATTAGACATTAAAATTTACATAAGACGGAAACATTTGTAAGAATTACTGAAAACAGTCATGGTCACTCTTGATAAATATTTAAAAATGATGAAAGTATCATAAAACTTGCTGAGTTTCCAAATTGTTAATATTTCCTAAAAGGTTTGAAAAATGTCTCAAAAATCCAACCGGAAAATCGTGATAAACTATGTACACTAACACATAGAAGTTTCTATCAATTCAAGAATAAACTGTGTTAATACAAATAAGTATATCTTGTTTCAACAAATTAAAAAGCTAAAGAATCTATATATATAATGGGAGAGTTGTCTCTCCATCTAAGGTGTCCACATCATCATCCATGTCATCACATTTTATTATTTTTGTGGGCTCCACATATGTTATTTTTTAAAACAAAAACTAAAACTAAATTAACTCACACATTTTAAATTATTACTTTTCATTAAAAATCAATAACTTACAAAAAATTAATTAAATATGAAAAAACGAAAAAATAGATATACAACACGAAATATAAAACTTTTGAATTAAGATTAGAGAAATAGAAAGTTAGATAATCATGTCTTAACATATAATGAGTGAATATTTTTAAATAGTTAGAGTTAGGAAAAAGAAACTTATGATTTATTTTAATGTAACAAGGCCTGGGCGAATTAACCGAACCGAACGTAACGAACCGGAAATGGAGCAAAAAGAACCAAACCGAACCAAAAATTTGAAATTTTCCG